AAGTATAGTAAGGCATGAAATTTTTAAAAACGACATAGTATAGTATGGCAGAAAAAGCTCATAAAATGCAAAAAAACCGACATAGTATAGAATGGCGAAAAAATTCAAAATATTTAATAGTACAGTAACTCACAATATGCAAAAAAACGACATAGTATAGTATGGCAAAAAATGTCAAAATACATCAAAGTATAGTAAGGCATGAAATTTTTAAAAACGACATAGTATAGTATGGCAGAAAAAGTCAAAATATGTAATAAAACAGTAACTCATAAAATGCAAAAAAACTACATAGTATAGTATGGCGAAAAAATGTCAAAATAAGTAATAGTATAGCAAGGCATGAAATGTAAAAAAAACTACATAGTATAGTATGGCGAAAAAATTCAAAATATTTAATAGTACAGTAACTCACAATATGGAAAAAAACGACATAGTATAGTATGGCGAAAAATTTCAAAATACAACAAAGAATAGTAAGGCATGAAATTCAAAAAAACGACATAGTATAGTATGGCAAAAAATTCAAAATATCTAACTGTACATTAACTCATAAAATGCAAGAAAACAACATAGTATAGTATGGCGAAAAATGTCAAAATAAGTAATAGTATAGTAAGGCATAAAATGCAAAAAAAGACATAGTATAGTATGGCGAAAAACGTCAAAATACGTAACAGTGTAGTAACTCATAGAAAAGTCATGAAACGTCATAGTATAATAAGGCATAAAAATGTCAAGAAGCGTCATGGTATAGTAAGGTAAAAAACTTCAAAAAACGTAATAGTATAGTAAGGCATAAAATGCAAAAAAACAACATAGTATAGTATGGCAAAAAATTCAAAATACGTAACAGTACACTAACCCATAAAATGCAAAAAAACGACATAGAATAGTATGGCGTAAAACGTCAAAATACGTAATAGTATAGTAAGGCATAAAATGTCATAGTATTGTAAGGTATGTAATGCAAAAACATGATACAGTATAGATGAAATGAAATCGACATAGTAAAGTATGGCGAAAAATGTCAAAATACTTAATATTATAGCAAGTCATAGAAAAGTCATCAAACGTCATAGTATAATAAGGCATAAAAACATCAAGAAGCGTCATAGTATAGTAAGGTAAAAAACGACATAGTATAATATGGCGGAAAACGTCAAAATACATAATGGTATAGTAAGGCATAAAATGTCATAGTATTGTAAGGTATGTAATGCAAAAACATGATACAGTATCGAATGGCGAAAAATGAAAAAAAAAAAAAAAAAGTCATAATATAGTGATGCATAAAAACAACAAAATCATCATAGTATAATAAGGCATAAAAATGTCAAAAAATATCATAGTATTATGAGGCATTAAATGCTTAAAAAAAAAAGTCATAGTATAGTAAGGCATAAAATGCCAAAAAAAACCACATAGTAAAGTATGGCGAAAAATGCCAAAAAAGACATGTCAAAGTAAGGCATAAAAACAACAAAAAACATCATAGTNAAAAAAAAAAAAAAAGTCATAATATAGTGATGCATAAAAACAACAAAATCATCATAGTATAATAAGGCATAAAAATGTCAAAAAATATCATAGTATTATGAGGCATTAAATGCTTAAAAAAAAAAGTCATAGTATAGTAAGGCATAAAATGCCAAAAAAAACCACATAGTAAAGTATGGCGAAAAATGCCAAAAAAGACATGTCAAAGTAAGGCATAAAAACAACAAAAAACATCATAGTGTATTAAGGTATAAAAACATCAAAAAACGTCATAGTATAGTAAGGCATAAAATGTCAGAGTATAGTAAGGCATGAAATGTAAAAAATCAAAATAGTATAGTATCGCAAAAAATTCAAAATACGTAATAGTATAGTAACTCATAAATTGTAAAAAAACGACATTGTATAGTATGGTGAAAAACCTCAAAATACATAATAGTATAGTAAGGCATAAAAAAGTCAAAATACATCAAAGTATAGTAAGGCAGAAAATGCAAACAAATCGACATAGTATAGTATGGCTAAAAATGTCAGAATAAGTAATAGTATAGTAAGGCATGAAATGCAAAAAAATAATATCGTATAGCATCACAAAAAAATTCAAAATACGTAATAGTATAGTAAGGCAAAAAAATTATAAAAAACGTTAAAGTAGAGTAAGGCATAAAACGTCATAGTAGTGTAAGGCATGGAATGCAAAAAAACGACATAGTATAGTATGGTGAAAAACATCAAGAAGCATCATAGTATAATAAGGCATAAAATGCCAAAAAAAAACACATAGTATAGTATGGTGAAAAACTTCAAAAATGTTATGGTACAGTAAGGCATAAGAACATCAAAATACGTAATAGTAAAATAAGGGATAAAAACATCAAAAAACTTCGTAGTGTATGCCAAAAAAAAACGACATAGTACAGTATGGCGAAAAACATCAAAATAAGTAATAGTATAGTAAGGCTTAAAATGCAAAAAAACGACATAGCACAGTATGGCGAAAAACGTCAAGAAGCATCATAGTATAGCAAGGCAAAAAATGTCATACTATAGTAAGGCATAAAAATGTCAAAAAACGTCAGTATAGTAAGGAATAAAAACATCAAAAATATTCATAATATAGTAAGGCATAAAAATGTCATAGTATAATAAGGCATAAAAACGTCAAGAAGCATCACAGTATAGTAAGGCAAAAAACTTTTAAAAATGTCATAATATAGTAAGGCATAAATATGTCATAGTATAGTAAGGCATAAAATGTCATAGTATTGTAAGGCATGGAATACAAAAAAATATCATAGTATAGTAAGGCCTAAAACCAACAAAAAACGTAATAGTGTGTTAAGGCATAAAAAAGTCAAAAAACGACATAGTATAATAAGGCATAAAATCCCAAAAAAAAAACGACATAGTATAGTAGGGTGAAAAATGCCAAAAAAAGAATCACAGAATAGTAAGGCATAAAAATGTCATAGTATAATAAGGTATGAAAACATCATGAAACGTCATAATATAGTAAGGCATAAATATGTCATAGTATAGTAAGGCATAAAAATGTCATAGTATAATAAGGTATGAAAACATCATGAAACGTCATAATATAGTAAGGCATAAATATGTCATAGTATAGTAAGGCATAAAAATGTCATAGTATAATAAGGTATGAAAACATCATGAAACGTCATAATATAGTAAGGCATAAAATTGTACAAAAAACGTCATAGTATAATAAGGCATAAAATGCAAAAAAAAAACGACATAGTATAGTATGGTGAAAAATGCCAAAAAAAGAATCACAGTATAGTAAGGCATAAAAATGTCAAAAAACATCCAAGTATAGTAAGGCATAAAATGCAACAAAAACTAAAAATAGTATAGTATGGCGAAAAACGTCAAAATATATAATAGTATAGTAAGGCATAAAAACGTTGTTGAAACGTCATAGTATAGTAAGGCATAAAAATGTCAAAATACGTAATAGAATAGTAAGGCTTCAAAAAGTCATGAAAAGAGGCATAATAACTTAAAAAAATGTCATCGTATAGCAAGGCATTAAAACGTCAAAAAACATCAGTATAGTAAGGCATAAAAATGAAATGTCAAAAAACGTGTATTAAACATTGTATAGTATGGCGAAAAACGTTAAGAAACATCATAGTAAAGTAAGACATAAAAAGTCAAGGCATTATAGTTGCTATTCACCATGAATACTATGACTTTTTTATGCCTTACTAACGCATAAAACAAGTCATATTCACGGTGACATTTTTCGACAGAAATTAAACTCATACTTTCATATACGTATCCACCATGTTATGTTTACTCCTGCTAGCAATCTGACTGCTAGCCTACAGAAGACATAAGCCAGGGTTAGCTTGCTAAATTAAAGTTAGCTGTTTAGTTTGATTTATTTACGGTTAAATAACATCATTTGACATTCTTCTGGTGACTTTAGGTACTACTGTGATATTCTCACATGACGTGAGCCTTTAAAGGCTATAGCCCCCACCCTTTCAGTCAATCAAATGTTTGCATGCCTAAATTGGTTGTCTTGGAGACGTAGCCGCTTGGAGGGCACATTGGAATGATCTAATTTGACTTCACTTCAAACAGTGTGAACGAGTTAAATCAAATATTGGTAGTGACAATTCTGTCCTCTCAAATCATTGGTAGGGACATTTCCCTACCGTCCGTATGTAAACCTCTGCCCTTTTCTTACACCTCACTGAACCAATGTTCCATTCTTCCTGAAAAGAGTTAAAATCAAAAGCTTTTTTCTTATGCATACCTGCATGCCTTTAGTTTGCTATAGAATAAAACAAAGAAGCTGGGAAAAGAGTTGATTTCTTCTTATTCCAGAGTTCCTGAAATGGCCCGGACAAAATTATTGAGTAACCCTTTGAAACGGTTATAAATAAGTGGTGATATTTCAAGCAGACGATTATTTTCAATCAATAAGAATCACAGGTGTCTTCAATCTTATAATCAGTGATTCAGCCTGTTTAAATGGAGAAAAGTCCTCATTGCACTGTTTGGTGTCATGATGTGTGGGTTGTCTGAGGAGCTAAGGAAGAAAATACTTGGGTACTAGATTACTTACAACAGCTGCTGAAAGTCTATGTAGTCATTTTATTCTTAAAGAGTTTTGCACCCTATGTTAAACCCTGTATTTTGTTTTGCTGTCTTGAAAAAAATAAAAATAAATGTGTATAAAGTGAAGTCATCCTGAGTTTGTTTGCTTATACTTTTGTCAATAAATTGGTTAAGAACCATGCAAGCCTGCTAAGACTAGAGGCAATATTTGCTCTAGTTTATGTACTATCTACAGTAATACTATAAGACAGTAATATGTCTGTATGTCACACCGAAAGAGTAAAGCATATTGTAATACGTATACGTTATGAAAACAGGCAAATAAATAAGAGAAATTGGAAAAATGACAAATGGATGACAGGTTTAAAAAGTTAAATTGTACATAATCTACAAAACGACTGTACACTGACCTTGTTGAATGGTCTGACTCTGACGGCCACTTTGACACAGTCCTTGCTGTGCATGTCTGAGGCTTTAGCCCTCATTGTCAGCAGGCAAGTATCAAAACAGGAGACTGAGTGATCGACTCCCTCACAGAGCACAGGAGAGCAAACTGTGTTGAGTTACACACTGACACACATTCACACATTCAGGGCAGTGTGACAGGGACGATGGTGAGCACATTGGCCTGTTAGGAAACGTCTCATGGGATCTTATTCTTTACTTTTACTTTACAAAATAGAAAACATTTAGTTTTCTTGCTGAAATGTGGATGTGACTTGAAACACTTTAGTATAAACTAAAACAGACACTAAATGTATACACTGCTTAAGACCAAAATTAAATATTAATTTGTAGAATGACTACTGATTAGTCATTCAAGAAAAGCAATGATCATCAGAATTCAATACAGGAAGAAATAATGTTTTTATAATGTGTGATTTATTAATGAAGTGGAGCAGTGGAGGTTGGCTGGTTTCACTTTCACCATGTCTACCACTTTAAATTATTGAGTAGAGACATTGCCCTGGGAAATAGGAGAGTCAAACTTATACAGGATAGGTAGATGTTTACTGCCACATTTATATCAATATTTGAGCGACTTTCTCTGGAATCAAACTTCACTCTACCAGCTACCAGCTTTCTGATATGAGCCATAACTTGCCCTGACATTTAAAAGGTTCCTTTTCATACTGGAAGCTGATGGAGTTTGATGGATGTCAGATGTCTGAGGCACCAACAGGATGAAGTCTCAGCTATTTGTGAAGGATAATTAGAGGCTTGTGGCTGACAGGCTGCACACCTCAGACAGACCAAACTAACACATGCACTTAAGAAATTAAATTGAGACAATCACCCAACACCAGAGGTAGAGAGGTATTTGCCATATTTATCAAAGAGCAGTCATCAAAAATAAGACATTCTACATACATTCATCAGAAAATAGCCTATGTGTCAGATGGTGGTTGCCATAAATTTAATTAAACAAGCCTATTAACATGTCCCAAAACAAGTTTAACGCCAAACCGCTGTGCAAGTATTTTTCCCCCTTTCACAATATATAACATCCCATGACATACAAAAACAGTCCAATTGTACAAGTCTGTGTCTTTCACAGAAAACCTCCAAATCAAATCAAACTTTGAGACTATGACATAGGCAGTCTGATTAGATGATCAAATGCATTTGAAACACTTAAAACTTCAAAATGAACATAATTCTTTAGGGTTTATTTATTAATTTTATTTGGAACATAGCAAAAGACTATATACAAATTTAACAGTAGAAATGTTTTGTATCCACTGGGTTGGTTGCTTTTCTTCTTAAATAGAAAAAACAGCAGGCCTCAAAATCTTAAAAGTAAACGTGAACAAGAAGAAGAACAAAAAAACTTAAAATAAAAGAGAATGTAAATAAAACCTCTTTATCAGAGGCAAGTTCAGTTCAGTCTCTCTGGTTTTATTGACGGGAGCTTCTAAGAACCCACACTGATTGCTTGCCCCTGTGCCATTCTGTGCCCAGAGAATTAAGCTGATTACAAGGAGCGTCACAAAATGGCCACAAATACAATATCAAGTGAAATCAAGTTAGGATGAGTGGGACATGTAAACTCCAAAAATATAATCGTCATTGCTTTTATTTTATTATCCTACAGGGAAGTCCATGTACAAAGACAACTGCAGCGCGGTGAGACATTTGAGGAAACAGATCCATGGTGAGTTTCAGCATACACTTTATTTGACAGCTCCGAACTGAGTTGGTTCAAATCTTGAGGTGGCTGTCTGAGGTTTGCTGGTCAAAACCACCATCAACCTCCTTACAGTTTCTTCCTCCGGGTGACAGGTTTTGTGAAAACAGTGTCCATTATGCGCTTGCGTCGAAGGTTCATGCTTGAGGTCGGGACCTCCCCTTCTTTAGTCCTCTTCTGTGTTCGTGGGAGCGGATCAGCTGGGCTTGCCAGAGGCGAGATCAGGTCCACTTCTGCTATGGGAGGCGGCTCCGAAATGCCTTTGGATCTGAAGATGGAGAAAGTACAAGAAAGAAATGAAGGAAAAAAAGATCTCAAACAGCACGAGAGTGTAAACTGTGATTAAGGCAAATGATACAAAATATATTTTTAGTAAAGACTGAAACCTAAATTTATGTCAATAAAGAATTGTATAGTGTTGTTTAAAATGTCAAACTAAAATTATTAGTCGTTAAAACTAAGCAGTCCTTGGTAGTAGCCTCAGTGTAGGACGTTTGTATTTTCTGAGGGGGGGCTTACTTGGCTGTTCGTTTGCCTGTTCGTTTGCCTGTTCGTTTGCCTGCTTTCTCCACTTCCACATGATCTTCTTCTGAAGTAGCTGCATCCTGGAAAAAAGAAAAAGGCGACGGCAAAAAATTAAAATGCTTTTCAAAAGATCTCTCATTTATTATTTCTCATTCATAATCAATGCGATTATTTGAATGAAGCTATAATTCCTGAGATACAGCCTGTCATTTCAAAGCAGCGGAAAGGCTCTTTCCTCTCTGCTGTGTCAAACATCCTGTTTAAAATGCTGGTTGTGGATAGAAAATATCTACATGACTACAGAAAGATGAATGTGTAAAAACCAAATGTACCAGTCAGTAGTGAAGAGCTGGAAAACAAAGTCATTTCAAAAATGACACTGCAATTGCTATACTGCAACTAATTTGCATACAGTTAACTAGTATCGCACCACAGAGGTCTTAGTCAAAATTACTTTAAATATAAATGTTTGAGCAAGAATCAATTAAAATGAACCTACAGAATTACATGTTTGACGAACTGACACGCAGACTAATTGTGTTCGGGTTAAAAACACAAATCCAGCCTCCTCCACATTTAAAGTGTCAACCTCACCTGAGGAGCAACTTCTTTGACTCTTCTGCTGCGAGTGACAGGTGCAGCTGACTCTTCACTTGGGCCAGGAGACTCTGCTCTACGGGCTGACACACAGACACAACGCAGGGTTAAAATCATCATGGACAAATGGATGGCTGGACGTATATGTAAATGGTTACTCGGCTCACCTCTTGTTCTTCTTCTCGAGGGGGAGTAGATGAATGAATGCTCGCCTGGACTGGACTCGTCCTCTTCGGGTTCATGGACCAGGCCGTCTTTCACAGGAGGAAGCGAGTGAGTCTGCTCCACTGATGTCTTCATATTCCTCTTGCTGGTTCTCACCACCTTTGAAATAACTACTCCTCCTGTAATTTAGCAAAGAGATGACACTCTAATACATTTCCACCTACAGTTTGATTTTTTTATTTTACTGTATAGCAGACCTCTCAAAGAATTTCACCTACGCAGTTCTTATTTTATTGTTTATTTATTGTATTTCTTATTTATTTAAGTTCTATTTTCAGTCCAAAGGCAGAGGCTTTGTACATACCTTCGTGCTTCTCTTCCTCATCCTGGAGTCTCTTGATGAGGGCGTCTGCAACAGGAGTTTCAGAGTCCACCTCCAACGGAGAGTCCAGTAAGGGAAGATCTTCCTCAGGGTGGTCCCAGAGTTTGCTCCTAGTTGGTCGCCGGGAGTTTGTATGACTAGTGTTGCTGTTAAATTCAGACTCAAGTAGATCTTCACTTTCTTTTATGTTTTCAGTTATCGTCTCTCGTCTTGTCTTTTTCGTGCTCTGAGGAAGTGATACAGGAACCAGTTTCACCTGGAGTGCAAATGTTCAATGATCAATGGATGGATCTGCTTTCCAATATGTAACAGAAAAGAATGTATGGCACATGCATGATAATCATTGGTAGAAATGAAAATTGTTTAATGAGGTTAAAGCTAAAAGCATAATATGGAAATGTTCTGTCTCAATCATAATTAAGATAAAAGTCACATGATGGTTTAACGTCAAACAAAAGTAAATCAGCAGGCATCAACAACAGGTGATGGTGAATTAGATGATTTTAGTAGCTTTACATTGTCGGTGTGTTAATGAAATAAACTATTTTGATATCTACAACAGCTTTCAGGTTATATAAACATCAATATTTAAAAAAAAAACGTAATCCTTACTTGTGGATAAACATTTAGGGTAATCCGGTTGGACTGTGGGGTCATCCTGCCAGGGCTGGAAAGTTGCTCTTTTTTGTCCTCTTCCTCCTCTAGCAGGGCTGGCTGCGTCTTCCTGGAGCTGCGTTTGACAGGAGGAGCAAAGACTTCTTCCTGTTCTTTATCCTCTTTCACGATCTCTAATGTTGTTGACTCCGCCTCATTGCTACTCAATATCCTTCGGCTGGACCTCCTTGGGGTGTTTCCCGGAGCGGTCCTGCGTTTGGCTGGTGTGGGAGTCTTGGAGCTTGTTCGTCGACCAACTTTTATATGTGTGACCTCCTCCTCTTGGTCCTTCTCCTCCTCTTTGATTTCAACCTCTGTGGCTGCGGACACCTCCTCACTGCCAGTGTGGGTCCTTTTGCTGGTCTTTGTTGAAGTGGCCCTCTGGGAAGCCCGTCGTCTGGCTGGAGAAGAGGCCTTGAACATTGATGCAGCTGTGGTATTGTTATCCACAGCCTCCCCCTCTTCAACCTCTTCTTTAGGAGGCTCTGGCTGAGCTTTGCGGGTACTTCTTCGTGGTGTGCTGGCTTGGACTTTAATTTCTTTGTTCTGTCTACTTTTTCTGGGTGTACGACGAGGTGAGGAAGGGACCTCCAGAGTGCTCGTCTCTGTCTCGATGACTTTCACATCCTTCTCTGGCTCCTCTGCTTCCTCCGGTAGAGGAGAGATAAAAGTGACAGTCCTCCTACCTCTCGTGGTCCTCCGTGTTGGGGTGGAAGGAGCCTTCTTCCTCTGAGAAGTCGGAGTCTCTGATGAGCTGAAGACCTGCTTCACAGGTTCCTCTTCAACATTATCTTCTCTTGGTCTTCCCCTAGTCCTCCTTTTAGTTTCCTTCTCTGTCGTAATTTCTTCCGTGTTATCCTCTTCTGTCTCTGCTAAGACTTTGTGGTCCTGCAGCTGCTCCTCCACAGCAGGCACCGTCTCTGCACTGGGTACAATTTCTGCGTCTATATTAACCAACCCATTCTCTTCAGGCTCTTCTTGGTCTTCAGCGGGTGTCGGTTTCTTCTCTTTCTCTCCGATCTCTTCATCAGCAGCATCTTTCTGTGCTACAAAGTCTTCATCATCCACAACTTCTGGGAATTCTCCCACTGGAGTTGGTACAGAAGTAGCTTCAGGTTCATGAGCTTCAGCCAACATTAAAAACTCATTTTCCTGGCTTGTCTCAGTGTTTTCAGTCTGTTGGTCAGTTTGGAGTTGTACAGGTTCTGATTCCATCAGTCCATCTAGCTCAATTCCATCCAGGGTGTCCATGTCTTTCCTCTGGTCATCATGTGAGACTTCTGCAAACAGAGGAGTATCCTGTTCATCTGTGCCCAACAGAATAACCTCAGGTTTGGCCACAAGCTCCTCACAGGCTTCCTCTACAGGAGACTGGGTGGAAAGATTGGAGGACTGCACATCATTCTCAATAGGTAGTGTGTCTGCCTCTTTATCCCCATCCTCGTCCATATCCAGCATCAGAGAGAAGCTGCTCTGAGTCTCAGTCCTCGGGTCGTCTGGCACAACCATCTCCTGAATCTCAGGAAGACACAGCTGAGCGCTATCGACCAGGCTGTGTTGTCCCTCCACAAGCTCCAAAGGTACCAGGAGAGTGGTAGAGGGTTTGAGCTCCATGTATGATGATCCTTGGTCTTCGTTCTCCTCTGCCTCCATCCCTCCTTCATCAGCCCCGAGTCTCACCATCACCACCTCACCCTCCATGTCCTCTTCTACCATCTATGAAGAAGCAAACAAAGCAAGGTTATTTTTTATGTTTGCAATTAATTGAGAAGTAGTAAATCCTTTTATTAAAGAAGCTGGAATCAGAGAATTTTTGGCGATTTTACTTAAAAAAAAATTAAAATAAAATATTATTATCACTGTCATTGCCAATTCATTATCCATCTGTCATCTAATCATCTCTGCTCTATGTCGGTTACCTTCATTTCAGCCCCCGGTGTGATCAGAGAGAACTCAGCAGCTTCCTGCTCTGACAGACTTGGCAGGAAGTGTGTGTGTCCTTGTTGTACAAAGACCGAACTCGGCTGGAGGGGTGGCAGCCTCCCATTCCCCTGCACCTCCTCGATGATCTCCACCTCGCTACCAGAGTCCTCCTCCTCAGCTTGATCAGACTCCTCCTCCTCCTCATCATCTTCTTCTTCCTCCTCCTCAGACACAGGGCTAGACAATTCTTCACTATCGTGTAGACTCACAACAGCTATGAGATAAAAAAGATAAAAAATAAAAAAAACAAAGCCAAAAAGTGCAGGCATGTGAGAAAATGCGTCAGTAAAACACAGTGACATTAAGAGCACCAGTGTAAATACGCATGTGTATACAATCTTACAGTGGGAGTCTGTGCCAGTTGGCTCGGATGATGTCACAGAGGCATTAGATTTCTGGCTGGTAAAAAGTGGGGGAGCTTCAGCAGCTGCCTGCTCTTCCTCTTCAACCTCACCTAGTGACTCACTGTGAGAAAGGAGGGTGATGGATATTTGTAACTTTCCACAAACAGAGCAATTAACAGATAAGAAGCCAAAGATTACAGTAAAAAAAAAAAAACAGCATTAGATATCCAACTATCATATTTACAGAAAAGAGGTACATACCTGTTGAATGACATCTGCGTCTGTGATGCATTGTGGATTCCTGAGCGGGTGAGTTGAGGAGACAGATCGCTGCCAAACAGATGTCGCTGCACAAACTCTGTCAGATCTGCTGGCAAACAACGCAAAAACAAATCATCATCAACTTAGTATGAAGCCAGTCATTATAACCCTGGTATGGTTGTCTGATTTAATATTTTATCCTATAGATCCAGAAAAGCTATGTATATTCACAGTATCATGAAAGACTTTCTTTCTTCATCTGCTTGTAAGCTATAGCATTTCCCCATTGTGTACATATACACAACACTTACCCAATATGAGGTTCTGTCTAATATAAGGATGCTGTATATTGGCACCTCGTCTTATATGAGGTGGTAATAATATGGAACTTTTTACACTTTAAATGCATCACTTAAGGACGGACCTGTTGATTGTTCCAGATCGTCCTCTGGTTCGTTTGTGGGTTCAGTTGGTTCATTGGCTCCAGACGGTTTCAGATGCTCAGTTAACTCTATGGCCTTAGACTGGATATCCTGTTCAGTGGCTTTCGCTGGTTGATGCTGAGATTCGACCTCAGAGCCAGGGTCTATGCTCTCAGTTACCTGGTTACAAACTGGTGGCACACAAAATATGTCAAACGATGTTTTAGGGAAGTGTGGCAAAACACATGAATACTTTCAACATCAGACAATTTTTCAAAATTTAAAATATGAGAGCATTTTTGTTGCTGTGCAGTACTGCTGTGAAACAAGCCACCTTTAATAATAAGTCATAGAGAAACAAATACAGCAAATTCTGCAAATGAATTACCTTGACTGTAACTAAGCATCTCCTCATGGTCAAGAGTTCCAGCATCTTCTTGTTTGCTACTTGACTCATAATCCTCTACATCCTCCTTTTCAGACTGAATGTCTTCCTCGATTTTAGCCTCCTGATCAAGACCAAGCTCCATCACGTCTTCAAATGTTTCATCTTCATTCGCCTCCTCTTTCTCCTCCTCTCCATTATCTGATGTCAGGACAGGGGTTTGCTCAGTGGTTGGAGAGGGCTTTTCCTCTGCTTCTTCCTTTTCACTTTGGGCTTTGATGTTCAGTGTTACTACCTCCTCATCCTTCTCTGTAGCTGTGTGCCCCTCCTCTACTTCTACCTCTTCTGATAGAGGTGCATCATAGTACTCTAGGGTAGTGTCTGTTGACAGGACAGATGTCTGACTGGTGTCAAAGCTCAGGGTAAGTCGTGCTTGCGTTGGGTCTGATGGTCTGGTTTCTGCAGCGACTTCATGGATGGAGGATGACTCGCTCTCAGAGCATCTCAGCTGTGGTGAAGGAATACCACCTTCAGGAGGCAAGAACTTTACATGAGGTTGTTCCCTCTCCTCCTCTCCATCCTCTTCCTCCTCAGCAGGCTGTGATGACCAGATTTTACCTGTAGCCTTGGACAGGATGGAACCTCTGGTCAGCAAGCTAATCTCACTGTCTGCTGCCATCTAGAGAGGAAAACAGGTCCAAAGAGGATTAGAAGACACATTTTATTATAAAGACAAAACCAAACCTACCAAAAACAAAGATGAAGAAAGAGTGAAAAGTATAAGTGTGCTAATATAGACCACAAATTAGCAGCTCAAAAGCAATGTAATCTGTTGATATTGGTGGGTTATTGCACATTATATGCTCTAATAGTAAATCAGATACCCAACACACAAAAACCACAGGGTAACTACAATTCTTTTAAGATGCAAGGCTAACAATCATCTGATGAACTACAATTTTGCAGAATGCAATCTTTACCAAGAAAGTATTTTTTGTTGTTTTTTTATGAGTGAGGTGGCTTCTCAGAATCAATACACCACTCCCAAGTAGAGCTTTGTCTTACCCCATTGGTCCATCGGATTCCCTTCTCTGGTTCAGGAGATTCTGTCTCTTCGATGAAGGTGATGCGGCTCTCTTTGCTGCGCAGCGGAGGGGTGATGGAGCGCCCTGGAGAAGCAGAAGGGGTGGCGACCGGTGTGGGCCTCAGGCTGCTGCGAAGGATGGACTGGGGAGTGAAGGCTGAGAACACCGGGCCAGAGGCAGCTAAGGCCCGAGCTCGCTGAGAGGACAAAACCCAGAAAAAGTATCAGTAAATAAATACCCAAATGACAATACAACAAAGTCAATTATTAAGTAATTAAACTATATAAACAACATTTATTTATATATACAGATTTGATGTCTTTGGATATCCAAACATGGCAAAGGATTAATTCTCAATGGAATACCAACTTTTTTTGATGACTTCAGAACAAAAAAGAAAAATCCACATTTGTCTACTCACCTTGACGACCTGTGGTGTTTGCAGCAGACTGAGTTCAGGGGCTTTGCTGATGCTCTTTGGAGAAACCCAGGAGCTGGGGGGTCTTGGGGGGCTGAGAAGAGGCTGAGGGCTCTGACAGGAGGGGTGGACCACCAGGTCCATCAGCCTGGGTCACATTAAAGAGGAAGGAATACACAGCATGCATGATTTTAAAACTTTTAAAACAACTCAGTGGATGTGCTGAAAAGAGTGGACTGAGCTCTGTAGGATGTAGGATTTATTTTGGAAAGTGAATTACTTCCATATTTTATGCAGGAACTGAGGAATGACCCTAGACTGTACAAATACTAGACAGCCAATTACGAGATATAAACGTTTTACATTTGGGGCAACCCCTAGTGGCTGATTGCCCCCCCTAGTGGCACCACATTTTGTACAGAGTCTCAGAGTGATATGTGGAACTACTGATCTACGTTTCATGTTAACAGCTGTGATTGTTCCCAAGTTATGCAACACTTCCTGCCTGTTTTGACTGCTACCTGAGGAAGAAAACGATTACAACAGGGTTCAAAGGTATTCAAAAACACTGATTAAACTGTGCTGCACCAGAAAAACAAAAATATATATATATATATACACATACATACATATGTACATATACATATACATATATACATATATATATGTATATACACATAAAAGTAAAAGTTTATGTTCAAATAAATGCATATGGTGTGTTTCACTTTCACTAGAACTATAATGAAAGTACCTTGACTTCCGTTTGGAGGTCATGGTGATGGGAGTTCCCAGAAAGGGATCAGGAAGGACCGAAGAGGAGGGCCTTGGGCTTGGGCTCTGAATGTCAGCTGCCCTTGGACTGGCAGAAAAAATTGAAAAAAGGTTAGAAAACAATAAATAACAGAACAGAATAAAAATCATTACTGTTGAGGTGCAATTTTGGTATCTTATACTTACTTCTTGGCTGGGGAGGACTGTGGTGTTGCTCCTTTGCCTAACCAAACCTCCTCAATCTTGGTCAGGACATTGTTGATAAATCCAGCCCTGGACATCACCTTCTCACTGGCAGAGCGCTTGGTGATAGTCGACAGTGGCTGTGGCCGAGAAACTGGAACACAGTGGTTTGGGAAGTTTCTATTAACATTTTGATAGTTTTTCCCCCACTGTGAAACGTGTTACTGGGATAAATTTTAATGGATGGAGTGAATTCAAGTTGAAAAACCCTTACCTTCTCTGTGGATGGTGTAGGGGTGTTGGTAGGGCTTGGCTCTCTCCATTGCCAGTTTCCTCTGCACTCTGGGCAAAACTTTGCCATACTGATCCAATATAGAGTTCCTGGTATTGGATCGTTCTTTAAGTTTTGGGTCACGCTCATTCTAGGAACAAAGATGAATCATTATTAATCTTATGGGATTTAAGCATCTTCTCTCATATATACCATAGCATATATAGTCACATGGTCAAAGAATTCTGAACACTTAAATAAATATCACATACTATACATGAAGCTATATATGAATGCTGTGATAATTGGCCGAATATTTTATATGTGTGTCAAACATACCACCAGATGCATTTTGAGGCTGTGGTTGAGCTGCAGAGCAGGTATATAGTTGGCCTGCTGAAGGTAATGGACCATCAGTAGTTCTCTGTTTGGGAGACCCCCTGTACCCTGGAGGAACTTCTCCAAACATTCCTGAAACACAAACCCAACAACCATGGGTGTTAGGCATCGACTTTATAATCCAAAAAACACAAAAAAAAGATTAATGAAGAGTTTGGATTAAAAAAAATAGCAGCAATTAAATCATCTCTCTCCTACCTGTTCAGATAGACCGAGGGGCAGTTTGAGCAGCTCCTTGATGAGGCCCAGCTCCTGGCAGCTCTCATACAGGAAGCCCAGCAGCTCACCCATATTGAGGCGATTAGAGTGCTGCCGAAGTAAGGACCATGCCTCTATGAGACACCTGGAACAAGTGCATACTGGCTGGTTAATAACGCTAAGGTAAAACATGTGAAAGGCTGTCATTGAATAGCCATCATGTTTGTTTTCTGAATCAAAAAGACATTTTTCTAGTCCAGTTTCAAAACTTCCAAATTGTTGTCAAGTTTTACTGAGTGTATGTTAACATCCTCGCCCTTTGCTCTTACCTGTTATGTAGCAGTACAGACAGGCAGAGTTTCGCCTGGGAGGTGGAGGAAATTGGGGGCTTTGCAACGTGGAAATATCGGAGCGCCACTGGGTGCTGGCCCTGGCACATGAGAGCTTGGAGGACACGCTCGTGCTGCCACTCAAACTGACATTGCGGGGCAGCCGGATGCAGGAGCAGTTCAAATGCACGCTGATCAAGACGAAGACGAAAATGACATTTAAAAAGAGCTAAACCCTAACCAAGGGAAAGTGTCATAAAAAGGAGACAGAAGAGGCCACAATAGTTGTATTTAGAAATATCTATAATATTTTGTATGTGTGCATATCACTGTAAATATTGACAGTGATATGCACATACTGATGTTCCACTGACTTTTAAATAAAATAAAATAATAAATGTTAATCTTTTTTTTTTGTGTGCCTTGCACAACCTCTCTGTATCCAAACTTATAACTCAGGGAATGTCATTCAAATATGTAAATCAGCAAGAACCTGGTGGTCATGATGGTCCAGCAGCCAGAGGCCTTGCACTAGTTTCACCAGTCCAACAGGGATGGCAAAAGCTGGGGGGAAAGACTCCACTGATGCTCCGTCCTTATTGGGGAAGGAGTACATGACATCCAGCAACAGGTAAATCACCTGAGACAACAGGTCAAGGTTCATACAAGCAGAAGGTTTAATTTAGTGTATTCCTGAGAGAGTTTATGATTTTCTATCACAATAAAATAAAAACATCACATTTAAAATCCTGACTATTGAATACTAAACTCTAAAACAATTGACCTAATAAACACAATGTATACAATTCTAACATGTTACAAATGATCAGAGCTGGACAAATACAACTCACAGCAATACATGCCTGATAGATAAATAGTCTCCACATCTAGAATCTTACAATTAGTTTGTTTTGCATGATAGAATGATTGAAAATAAGATGTTACATTTATTGTTAATACATTTTATACATAATCATAAAGATATAATTTTAAAACTCTGAAATGTGTCTCTTTTCTTAACCGTTTCTAAATACCGCAAGCACAATAATTGCTGCAAAAGATCATGCAAACTCATAGCTGGTGTAGTGATGTAATGGAATGGGTAGTATTACATTATGAAGGATACAATTGCATGTTTGGCAGCTTCATCAATATTGTCCAGTAGATAAATGTCCAACAAGGCCTGTGGATCAAACATACACAAAATCCAGCTCTTTATAATGTAACAGCAGATATAAACTCGGTTTGACATAAATTGGTGGTACAAAATAAGTAAAATTCAAAATGTATTATATGTATTTCAAATGCTTACATGCAATGTAGGTGGTGGGTACTGCCCTGTCCCACCCTCATCCCTTTTCCATAGGTTGGTCAAGCGTTCACCACACTGGCCAACCAAACCATCAATCATCAGGCAGTCTGCACACCACTTGCCCCTGAGAAGACAACAGGAGAGTGTCGGCATTAGATAGCAAAACCTCCAAAAGTACAATACAAGAAAAAAATACCCCACAAGATTACAAGCAAACCAAGATCACTTTCAGGGAAAACTAAAATAGACATTCTTCATTCTAACATTTTATAGACTCTTCCAGTGATAAAAAAGTAATTAAGACAATATGAAACTCTTGGATAGCTGCGGCCTTAGATTTGGGATGGATGCCAAGATTTAATTAATCTTTATTGCTTTTGAGCAAAGCTTACTCACTTAGCTAGCCTGGTGAGGTCCTCTCTGCGCATAGTGTAATAGTTGCTGATGATTGAGTGGATGTAGAAAGGCCTGGAGATCTGGAGAGCGTTGTCATCTGGTGGGGACAAGTATAGAGGGAAAAAACTAAAACTGAATACAGAGATATGCAAAGGTTTTGCCACACTGTGATTTAGAAACATCCCCCAACTCTGCAGTGCATAATCTTTCCAGTTTAAGAATATGTAATGTCAACTAATATTTGTTAGTGTAATATTAAACCTGCTTTGAAATAGTTTTTTTCTGAATGGTTTTTGTGATACTACTGGTATGGTTTCCTTCTAAAGGATTTCCATGTCAGTTTTGTTCGTTTAAGCACCACTTTACCTGATCCCTCAGGCAGTAAGCCAGTGCGACAGAACCAGAGGACCACCTGAGCATACTTGGAAATCAGACTGGAAACCATGTTCTTGTTCATCAACCCCACCAGACCTAAACAACAAAAAACATAACCACAACTTTTCAGTAACAACAAATAAATGGCTCAAAACACCACAACAGCTTCTGTTGCTAGACATAGCTAACCCCTAGACAATACATTGTAACTCAAAGTGTATAAGGCCATAAAAAGGTGTGAGGGGTGAGATATTATCATTTTACTGATATCAAAACTCAATGGGACATAAAAAAGAAGAAGAAAAAAAACAGTGTTTCATTACAGTTTAGTATAAATGGGAATTAAATCACAGGGTATTTGTGCTGGCTGATCTGGTCTTACTAACATCACAGGGAAACACTTATAGATGTGAATGTATCTGTGTGGACACTACACCTTTTTGTGTGAGCTCCTGAGCTTCACTGAGTAGACAGTGGAAGATGGTACTGAGGTTACCCAGCAGTCTCTGACTGTGCTGCAGCAGCTGCAAGGTCTGAGGGTCTGTGAAGTTGGATGAGCTGTCAAACAGCGGAGCGCCTAAGAAACAAATACACACAGAGCAATAGATCCACAAGATAAATGTCTACACTGAAACAAACTTGCAAACAGCATAGAAACTGTGTGTTTGGGAGGAGGGATTTATATTACTTAAGTGATCAATAATTTACATTATCAACAAAGTGGCAAAGCAAGCTTTTCCTATTCCTTGACAAGGATGAATAATATAACAGCCTGAAAGGTAAATTGACCGTAGAAATATGTTCTGCAAACATATCTGATCTAATCTATTCAAATTTATCACTTAGAGTGGTCAAAATGGTAAAAACATAAATAAAACATACAGATGCCATCCAGTTCCTCCTTGGTCTGGATTACTTTGCTCCAGGCCCAATCCAGGATGTAGCGCAGGTTCAGTGCAGAGCCTGGTTGTTCTGTTGAAGAGGAACAGAATTTGAACAGAGTGTAGTATAGATGTAAGGTGCTGTGTATGTATGTGTGAGATGAAGCCAAAGAGAGCAACACTGAGGGAACCACATACTTGCCAGCATGGGTGCAAACGGTTTGGATGACCAGTTTCAGAGACTATTTGACAATTAGGCCGAGCATGACTCCTCACCTTCTGCAGTCCACTGCTTGATACAGCCAGTGATCAGTCCTAAGGAGCTGGTCTCCACCGCTGTGGACAAGATCGCATCCAGCTGTTCCTCCTAAAGGCCAATATCAAGTTGCATGTGCAAATTACTATGAACACTTCAGAATAAATATCTTATTTAATTCTATTTATCGTTTTAAAAGATTTTCTTTAAAGTGAACATAAGAGGAAGTACAAAAGCATCAAGAACAGGTTTCATGGGTGTGTGCACAAGTGGTTCTGCAGACCAAGATGTCAGCCAAGAGTGTACCTGAGAGAGGCTGGAGGCCTGGGTGTCAGCCAGGCGAGATGAGAGTAGGCCAGACATGAGGCAGCGAGAGTAGCTAGTGGAGATGATGTCACTGGAACAAGGAGCAGCTTTCTTCAAAAAGCTCAGGGTCTGGTTTTAATGACAGTGATGAGGTGTAAACGAAGCTTCCTTTCCATTCAAATCATCTTCACATAATTAAATCTAAAACTAAATTGTAAATACTGTGCTGCCTTAGCGATAAACATCATATCAAGAACACACTAGGTTATGTCCCTATAATACAGAGGAACCCATGTTAAATAAAATGACAATTTGCATATGAATTTATATAGTCACATGTTCACTTCTTCTGACTAGCATTTGGATAAAATGTCCAAAAATAAATTAGCTGAATGTCAGTATAACAGAAAAATGAACAAAGGAAACTTGCCTCTTTCTGATACCCAGAACACGTTAAGTGCACTATTCCAGAGTTGAGCAAGCAGGTAGCATCTGTAACATAAAAGGATCTATCAACCTTTTTAATCAATTCATATTTCAACTACAAATCCAGGCATGTCTGCACAAGCAAATCCCTATACAATACGAAGAAGGAACAGAAATACACAAAGCCTGGAAAGAATTACATAGACCAGGGAGATAATTCAACATTACATTACATATATATCATCTCTAAATATAATCTAACATCAGGAGGAGGGTGGTACATAGTGTGTCTATACTTACCAAAGTTGTATGTGGTGGGGTTAAAGTATTGTTCTGGTGGGGGGCAGGTGAAGGGCAGGCCCCTGCTCAGGCTGCGGTCGTGTACCACCACATCCAGCAGGGCATGTGGAGACACCATCTGCACCACTGGGTCCAAAGACCAAACTGCCAGGTATGGACAATTTTGCAGAGACTCCCCCATTCTGACAACAACACACAAGTAAAATCAAAATGCAGTGTCAAAGGAAATCAAGCAGTAACCTCAGGGTGATAAGGTACAATGAGTCAATGATTTTTTATTTATTTATTTATCTTTATAAAACCGGCATCACTGCTGTTCTGTCAAACCACCAATTAATATCAAACAAACAACACCCATAACCTTGGGTGTCATATGATTCATTTTTTGTTTTTGGATACATTAAGTTGAACCCATATAATGAATAATATGAATAATTTTAATTATAAAAATGACACTTTTCTCTTATCAAATTTTAGAATAGTTGAAAAATCAGTTTCCACTGTACCTTAAAGAATCCGGCATTTGTGCATGGTACCACCGATTGATATCAAAAACCCCAATGTAGGTAGATGGGTTTCCCTGACCATAAGCCTTGACTTGCCAGCTGAAGATAGACACACTGGTGTCTGGAGATGCAACTGAAAATGGGAAGAGGTGTGGATTACGTGATTAAGAAAATGAAAGGCAGGTAAGAAATTAGAGCGCAAGTAGACAAAGTACAGAAAAAGAGACAAAAAGTGACTCCATTATGTAAAAGTTTTAATCGGTACACAAAATGGAATATTAGCTTTAAGCGTCCAGCACCATGACAACACTAAAATTTTAAAGCACAAAAGATTCAAATTTGAATAAAAATGCTGAGAACGTGCACTAATTAGCTATAATATCTTCCGCATGCAGTCTCAGAAGGAGGGGGCTAACCTTCATTCATGCTGTCATCCCTGTCAGGATGGGGTCTGAATTTCTCGATGGTCTGGCAACTGAGCAGGCGGGTGTTGGTGGTCTGGGCCCTGAAAGGGAAAGTTGTGCCACTTAACTCCTGACTGTAACGTTCCTCACAGTACTCCAGACCCTGAGTGACAGAAAAGAAAACAGGGAGAAGAATAAATCAAGGAAATCAAATATACAGTACATTTGCAGGGACTGACAGGACCACTGTAAAGGATTTATTAACCCAAGGAAATATTGTCCTAATCCTGTATGCACTAAATACCTCATAGAGGATCTTCCCAGAAGACAGACACTTCCTTTCACTGAAGGCCAGTTGAAGCAGACGGAGGCTGACCATGTCCCCCTCGCTGCATGAGAGTGAGAGGAGGTAAAGGAAAAATAAGACCTTGGAATACACAAGAAAAAAAAGTACTTGTTATATGTAAGACTTACAGGTCCTGAGAAGACTGGACAGCCCAGAGGTAGCAGCAGTTCCTCGGGTCATTCTCTGGTTCCTGGAAGGTGAAGGCATACACAGCCACCCCACCACCCTCTAACTGGGAATGGTATCTATGCATGAACAATCACACAAAAATTGGTACACATAGAGTGATTTGAAGAACATTTAAAGTGTATGTATCAGTGGTATAAGTTCATTTTATTACAGGTGCCCATGAATTCAAAAGGAGCCCAGACTCTTGTAATTACTTTCTAGTCTGTTCCTACTGTATTTTCAGCTACAATGGATAATAAAGAAAAGGTCAAATAGAATATCATGTCAGCAATAACACATTTTGTTTTGGGAATAGTCTATATGACATGACAGTAATAATGCAATTGGGCTTTGTTTCAAAAGACTGGCTCTTAAGATTTGAACCCCCCCCCACATCCTCCCTGACTTACTCTTTCTTAAGAGTCTTCATGTTCCACAACTGTAAGTATCCATCAGAAAATCCCACCGCCAGCTGGTTGGTCCTGGAGATATACTGCAGAGCTGTGGCTCCAACTCCACTGGGCCCATTCAGTTGGAGACAAAGATGTCTGCCCTGTCTGGTGCTGACTTCTCTCAGCCTTGGGATCTCTGCAGGAGATTTAGTCACTACCTGCAGGTCTGGGAACAGAAAGTAATATAAAAAGAAAAAAAAATTATTTGCTAAAGGGGTGAGGGGGTTTACAATGGAGCTGTAGATGTGTGTGTTTAACCAATTTTCCTAAACTTATGGTGCACAGAACAGGCGGAAACTGACCATTGCTCTTCTTCCAAATAAGGTTTATCAGGAACACAGGAAAAACAATGAAAACACATAGACAAGCTTGAAAACACCAATAAACCCAACCCATCCTCAAACAGTATCCTCACCCGAAGCCTCCAGTTCACTTTGGCTGCAGGACAGGTCATCAAGACAGAGGTCCACCAACAGAACATGACCAAGATCCGTTACCACAGCAGCAATGCCAAAGAACCAGCGCAAACTCTGGTGGAGGTGCTGTGTCAAAGTGCTTGCTCCGCCATAACTCACTAATGGCTCAACAGCTATAATCTGGATCAAAGAAAAACATACAATGCTGAGAAAATGAAAACATGATGCCCTGGCTGTCACTGAGACAAAAGAAGTGTTCCTTTGTGTTGACAGAGTGCTTAAACATTAGGAGTTTTTTTTTTTTTTTTGCTCCTTACAATAGAAAGACACAATAATTTCTACTTTCAAAGAAATCAACACTACACTAGTGATTTACCAATTCATCATTTAAATAAGGACTATTTATTGTTGCTTATTTACTGAACGCTTATCCTGCTGTGATAGACCTTCTCTTCTAGTGAAAGGTGAAGAAGACCCTGGTGCATAAACTCACCCTGCCTGGTATGACCACAGCTTTGACCACCCTTGACAGTCCCAAGTCATAGAGACACAGCACACTGCCCTCTGCTTCCTCCAAGCCAACCAGCAGTCCAGACCTAGTAATATTGAGCAGTAAAAGAGTTAACATTTGATATTTTCCCAGCACAGTCATTAACATATTTAAAAATCTGTCTTTGTTACAAATTATAGAAACACATGATTCTGACAGATGTTGGCTACCACTCATCTTATATCTTACTATTGCCACTGATTGTAATCCACATTAAAGAGTGATGAACAGGTGAAGATAAAGAGATATATAGTGAAACAAAGCTCTGACCGTTTGAGCCAGCTGAAGTCCCTGGCAGCAAGGACACTGGGTGGGTGCTCCCCTCCACCACTGAAGCAGTATGCCGACAGTCTTTCTCCTGTCACTGCATGAACAACCTCCAGATGGGGGCCACAGGCCAGCCAGGCCAGCCCGCTGCGGCCTTCACATACAGAAAAGGACATGAAAGGTTAGGAGGCTGTGACATAGGGTGAAGGTCATCATCGATATGGGTTCAGTTTTTTTTTTTTTCCGATCACACTGCTCATGAGCCAACATGGACCTGCAGCCAGTTCTACCAGCTGTCCTGAAGTTGAAAGATTTAAAGCATCACAAAATTGCAACCTTTTTCTTAAAATAATTATAGAAATAAAAAATATCTCAACTGTTTCTAATGCTTTAAAGAAAAATAATGAATGAAATGTGTCATATGATCCACCTGGGTGTTATAAATAGTTCAGTGTTCATTGTTTGTTTATTGTTGTTTATTTTCCTTATGAAAAGAATGGTGGCAGTATGTTTTAAACTTTCAACAATCAACCAAAGATGGAAGAAAGACAATATTCATATATATAAATCATTGATCAGTAAAAAACAGACTTACCAATAGTGAACTTCCCATGAAGAACAGAGTCTAGAGTGATCTCATCCTCCCCCAGAGCATCTACAGTCACTCCTGGGAAAGGCAGCAGGCTGCTGGTGACTTGGGCTGTCAGGTCATGCATTGCTCACTATATAAACAACAAGACAGGAAATACAGTATGTTGGTGAAAACAGTTAGTCCATTTACCCTTCATTAATGTTCCCCCAAAACACTGTAACATTATTGCTTAAGTAATGTGGTCAAAAATTGTATTTTATTTTATAAATATTACCCTGGCCTAGATACTTAAATAATAAATTCAATAAGTCATCAATAAGTAATAATAAAATTACAATCTGTGGAACACCCTTTCTGAACCCTTCCAACTCCATAAATCCACTTCAGGCTTTATCTGCTCGACAGGGTTTTACAGTACAAAAGAGGTCTTTCTTTCAATCCACAGTTGCACCCCCAGTTGTCGGGAAATGTGCTGTCAGCAGACTTGCTGACAACTGGGGCTACAACTGGGTTTCTGCTTTCTAATCAACAACAACCTGGCATACTGCTACACATCTGTCAGCAGATGTGGGTTCTGACAGTGAGTTCTGATAAACTGCTAGAACACTATTCAAATCATTGATCAGAGAACCCCCTGAAGTTGCCTTTTTTATTCCTTCTCCAGGCTAACAAATCTTTTTTTTTTCCATTTAAAAAAAGCACATGACAACAATACTACCTTCATATTACTAAAGTTTAACTGTATGACAAAATTTAATGTCATTAATCAATTAGTTGTGACTTGTTGTGAATAATGTTTTACTTTCCATTCCATATCTTCAATTGGAGATTAAGATGATCTTAAAAGTTTACTTTTACACTGTTTGCTAGCTTCAGCTCAAAGAATCAGAATCATCTGAAATTTTTTTTTTTTTTAGAAATAAATTAGCTTATTTGTCATGACTTTAACACAGTTATTTGTATCATCGTGTTTTACCTATGTCAGTGTCTATTTATATTTCTTGTTATGTTATTACCATTACTGACCCAAGTCTGTAAATGTTTATGCTGTCCCTCAGAACTGTTATTTTATTAATGATCTAACTAGATTATACAATTTCTAGCAGTATGGTACAGAGAGTGACGCTTTCAAGGCCAACTCAACCTAAAAGGGAATTTGCCCATCAGCTTCACAGTCTGCAAAATTGGACACAATACTGCCCTCTGTGACCACAGTAGAAAACAACGTGGATTCAAGTGAACTCCCGCGCAACAAGCCTGTCACTGCGCTGCCACATGCCATGGCTTCAGATGAAACGTGTACAGATAGTATGAATATTACAAACAAAACAAGCCCAATTTATGCACTTAAACACATCACAACACTATCACAGACATAATGACAGATGCAAAGATTTTACAAAAGCAAGTAAGATGGTTAAAATAACTAAAGTAGCTTCACCAAACACAAAATCTAGGGCTCACGTTCAATATTTGCAGGATTTGTATGCGACAACCCGTAACATTAGTAACTCTTACAGCTTGCAACAACCCAGACCAACTTCCGAAGGTAATCGTCACACGTATAAATGAAGATTCGAATTTTATAGATATTTAAACCTCAATTACCTGGGTAACGTTAGCTCGTGCGTTAGCATATGCAGATCAAAGATTAGCTTCACCAGTCCCACTTGTTAGCGTTGAGCTAGCTTGACAATGTAAACAAACAATTGATCGCTACCTCTGTACAATGTAATGCACGGGGCTGTTACACACAAGCCACAGATTAATATGTTCATGTTATTAAGTGCAGAATAAGGGCTGGCGGCTGTCTTACACTCTTCCCTCAGTTACATTAGCAGGCTATCCAGTTAGCTTGCAAGGTCACGCAGGATTACAGTTTATCCGAGCTCACCGTTAAAAGTTGAGCTAGCTAACCTAGCTTAAGACGTACGTGACAATTTTGGGGAATAGCAAATAACAGTTATTTTATGTCAGGTCTGATGTTTAATTACCGAATTTGTGATACAGCAAATTAACTACGCCAGCGATTAACATTTAACCATAAAGTCAGTTTAATCATCAGAATAACTAGTTAACAGCAAAGTCGGGGTGGCTGGCTAGACTAGCCTGAGGTATGCTGCTACGTTCGCTAACGTACAGCAATTGCTGTCGTTAATGTTAATTTAGCGGAGCTAAGTGGCTGGTAATTTAGCCAAGCTAAATTCACATTAACCCTGACAACCCGGAGCGGCATTTCAGCAGTTGGAACATCTCATTACATGCTCTTTGTCGTTAACAACGAGTCTTGGCTTGACACGAGTTTGTGAATTTAGCTAGGTAAAGGTAGTTTAGTGGTCTAGCTTTAGCTACAAATGTGCGAACGTACGGTAGCCTGGCATTATGAAACTAGCTTGTAGCTACTTGCAACATCACCGTACAGTCGATCTTTATCAAGTCAAGTTCTTACTGGAGGTTTTTTTGGTGATTTAGACAGCTTATGGGAGTTTAGACAGCTAGTCCCTTTAGCTCTCTGTCAACTGCGCTGGAAAACGTGATGCAATGCACCGCTAGCTGCTGCTGCCACCGTTGACGGCACACTACCTGTTCAAGGATGTTGACGGCTTTATCAGAGCCCCAAATGTTTTGTTTTCCTAGACGAATCTCACGATTCCTTCCTTCCTGTGTCATAATCCGCTCCTTTTCAAGGTACAATTCATGCGTAAAGTCCTCTGGACACTTCAGGGGACCGATCAGCGCGAAACGCTCCTGACTTCAGGCGTCTACGGCGGATAGCGCCACTTCTACGGTCGGAAAGTGTTCCACGCGCGTCTTCTTCTCCGGACGTGGTTCTGACAGAATAGACTCAGTAGAGGCATACTGCTGCCCTCCTCTGTTTGGGCGTATTTTCTGCTTAAACACTAGGCACAGTTAATCACATTTATGTATGTTATATACTTATTTATGTAATTAACTTGTTTTGATCTTTGAGCTCTAAGGAGAAACGTCAGCTCGTGGCGCTTGGATTTGCAACTCCTTCCTTTGGGATATGGATTACAATATAGCCTCATTTAGAAAGTGGCACTAAGTTGCAAAAGCAAAATCCATTAGTGAAAGTCCTACTCCCAAGAACATGTTTAAAAAAGTCAGAAAATAGAGATTAGAATAAACTAGGGAACTTCTCTATAAATAAACGTAAAGGCAGACACTATATACAGATTCTACAAAAACATCAACAGCTACAGTGTAGCTGCCTAACAGCTTTCAATGTAGACTGAAAAACACTACCCAAATTGCCTAAATAGTGAACAAAGACTGGTAATAGAGTTGGATGCAGGTTTGACAACATTCTAATGTGTTCTTAATCTTACAAGTGGACCTTTCATATTGCACTATGAGAAATAAAATACTTAAAATATGCATGAGAAAAGGGAAGTTGTGTAACATCGCCACATTGCATTGACAGTTTTGTTTCTAGCAGGATGGAGAGTTGATTTCATTTCTTTCTTTTCTTTTTTTTTAAGTCAGTCCTTAATTCCACCACAGGAAGTAGATCCTTTTGCTGTTGACAGCTTTTTTCACCTTCAGACCTAAAGCTCCCCTCAGCACTTTATGACTTTTAATGTTGGAACATAATTGGTACCTTTCTACCCAACATCAGTGTCAACAGTAAGGTGAGGTGTTGAGTTTGGTCCAGCCATAGTATGTCTGCAATGTTTTGCAACATATGCGTTTCTTGTAGTGTACCTCTGCAGGTGTAATAGTTCAAAGGGGGTACCTGTCGTAAACCAAAACAATTACTGTATGACGACTCAGTGTGAAAAGTTTTTGTTTCATGAAAAATAACCAATTTCTTTTCAATAACAATAAGTACTTTCAGGAGTCAGCTACAGCTGATTTTCATGCAATTACATTACACACATGGAAAAAGTTCAATACACTGATTAAGCATATACATATACATATACATATCTGAAAATGTAAAGCATGATTTTTAAGTAAATCTATAAGTTGACAGGAATGCTTTCATTGGCTCACTTTTGTCCTGAGACCCCCTGGTAACTGTGCTGCTTAGCTCATGTATCACCTTATGTTGTGATGATGACAGCTTGTATTTAAACGCCTTTTTTTATTTGGCACTTGTCCATCCTTTATTGTGCGAGAGTCTTATTATTAAAGCTAAAGCATGATTACTATTGACATTTTGAAACCATATTTTCTTGATTCACATTTTGAACAGCTTTTTAAATGTTAAACCCAATACTTACATGTACAGTGTTACAAAATGCAAAGGAGAACTGAGTCAGTGCACTGTGAATTATCATGGATTGCAAGGCACACAGAGATGGCTACATTATCTATAAACAATTTGGGGAAAAAAAGAACAGTAACAAAATCCATTTTTATAACACTCAGTCCTCTAACTGATGGGGTCAGAGAATAATGCACGTGCAGTGTTCTGATGCTGTGATTTTTTTCTTATTTCCCGCTCAATCATCAAGTCAAACTCCTGTCTTTCTCTGAAAAAAGAAAGAAAAAAAAAAAATCACAGATCATATTTTGTATTTAGTGTAAAAATTCCTTTAATGGTTTAACTCATCAAACTCTTACCTGTTGCTTATACATCGTCCTTTTAGGTACTTTTCCTCTGCCTTTTTTAGTGAGACATTGTCCACACCAGCTATGGCATAGATGATGGCCTGGATAGAAAGACAATAATATTACAACACCTGCACTACATAAACAGTGAACTGCATAGCAGACAACACAACATAAGCTACTATAATAGACAAAAACTAGAATTACTGCCTCGGCTGTATGCTTCCACCAACCAGCCAAGTTGCAGGAAATATGGTCACAACCTCCCCTTCCTGAATTACAGCATTGAATGATGGCCAATAGTGTTTTTGCTGAACATTATGATGACATAAAATGTCATTGCTTCATCATGTTATCCTATTAGACATTGGTGTTAAATTGTGTCATAATCAGTATATGAATTTGTAAGTTATGGCTAAAAACGTGCTTTGTGAGGTCACAGTGACCTTGAATCAGTTCATCCTTGAGTCCAAGTATGAATGTTTGTGCCAAATTTGGAAGTTCCCTCAAGGCATTACTGAGATATTGCGTTCACAAGAACGGGATGGACAATGGACAACTGGAAAACATAATCTCTTTGGCCCTGGCTGTTGCCAGTGTGGAGGCATAATAACACAAATGAGTACTGATGAAACCTTAAGCTCACCTCAGGAAGAAGCACATCCAGGACAAAGGGGACACGTTCCATGGATTTCACCTTAGCCAGGAAAGGAGCAGTTGCCATGGCTGATGCATAGACCTCATTTAGGTACCAGTAGACCTGGTCTAACTGCTGGTCATCTTCCAGGTATATGTTTACCACCTGCCTCCGTTTGGCCCTCAGAAAGGAGTGCAGCCATCTGGACTGCTCCTGCCCACGGATCACAGCCTGTAAAGAGAGTGATATGGTGAGGGTGGATTTATTCATCCAGGGATGGGTGCTTGTATCTTCATCATCTTACGTGCTCTTTTTTAGTCCATCATACTATATACCTATTAAAAATATCAACCACATTTAGTTTTTTGATCCCTTATTGTATCATAACATTAAAATCTCATAGTGGATTCTCTTACACTGATCGACAACAGAGACTCCTATGTCAAATATAAAACAAATTAACATTAACATGTAGGAATGTAAAACAGATTTATTGCTCTCATAAATATTCACCCATGTCTACGTTTGTTTGAGCTTTGTACACCTCGGGGCACCCATTTGTCTTTGCAAAACTGGTTGAGCTCTTGCAAGTTACATATTGATTGGGGGGGCGAACTGCAATTTGTAATTTGCAAAAACTCCTGTCTGAATTGAGGTCAACATTCCGGATACTCATTGTGAAGCTGTATTCACAAAGACATCAGACATCAAATTTACCTTAATGTAGTCTAATTGTTAAGTGCCTTCAGAAGTTATCAACAATACTTCTAATCTGTACTTCTAATCTAACTTTGTAGCTATAGGTTTGGAATGTTTCTTTATTTTTGTTTTGTTTTGTTTTTTAAACCAGGATATGTACTAATCACTTTGCAGAAATGGTTGTTTTACAGCAGTTTTACCCAAAAACCATGGGTCACACCTTGCTTTCATGCAATCGATCTCGACTTATGCATTTATTTTGGGATATCTTTGTATATTTATGTGAATAATATTCATAGTTGATTAAGATCCCTTTTGTTTTTGCTTTCATGTTGAGGATGTTTTTTGCCCAGTAATATTTGCTGTGATGAAAAATGTAAATTACTAACTGGCCTTGTAATGTTAAAGTTACATGCTAAAAAGCTGAAATGTGATATATTCATGTCCATTGTACACACATTAAAATGTGTTTCTTATTACATGAAAAACATTGGCGGGACATGGAAGAAATTCATTCTAATGATTCATTCAAATCATGGGTGATAGTTTAACATGTGGAACTGGTTCATCTTGTCAGATAACATTGTAATGAATGGCATCTAGCTGGAGTATACCTCCATGTAAAAGATTCAGTGGTAATACTACTTTTTTACAGTATACAACTAGAAAGGCGAAGGCACATCAAATTGTTTCTGAGTGAAAGCCTTACCAACATGAATCCGGAGTAAATTGTATTGATAAAGTGTTTACTTAATCCAAGAACTACATTAGCAACACGGCAAAACAAGAGGCTTCATTAATCATACCAGGAGGCGTCCTTCCACCATACGCTGCTTGACGATGAAATGTACGAGCTTTTCATTAGCGCGGTTGTGGGCTGCATGAGTCCGGTCTGGCAGTAGCCTCTTTGAACTCCTGCTGACCTCTTCCGACTGTTCAATAAAGCTGTCCTCCTTATGATCGTCACCCAGTTCCTCCAACATTGCATCACTGGTGATGGTTAGTCTCTCTGAGGCTGCCTGCGGATACATCCGCCTCACTGGATGGCCTGGAATAGTTAAAAACCAACAGTGAAGAGCATCGTCAGGACCCAGTGGGGCTGCAGGTGTACTTAAGTAGCCTCTATATGAATGTCATACAATGAAACTTACTCATGCCATGAGCAAAGTACTCAATGAAGGAGCCAGAAAATGAGCCACATGCTACAAAGACAAAGACATGGTTAATACTGCCAATAATTCTGTTGTATCTGAACAACATGGTTTACATGAAATGCATGTAAATATCAGTGTCCTATATCTGTTTCTGCATAAGCATCAAATGGACAATACAAACCAATACGTATTCTGTAGTCTGCTATGAGATCCAAGGACCACGCAATTGCAGCATCATACTTTTCTTTGGCTTTACACTATGACAAAACCAACATGAAAGACAGAATTACTCTGCCACAGTGTCAAATAATGTTTTCAGAAAATCAGAAATCAGAAAATTGATTGTATAATTTGTGAGCAAGTCTTACCACCAGCTGATCAGCTTCTGCACAGTCAAAAGGCTTCAGGGTTTTCAGAGCCACAGAAAACCTTCAACAAAACAAACAACTAAAAACTAAGTTCCTGAATATCTGAAAGTGTGCCAGCAATTTGGACATTAACATCTTGATGTGTGCAGTCAGGTTTAATAATATCACATCAGACAATGAAGGAAATTGTACTAACTTAAAAGTGCAGAAGCATTAACCTGCAAAGCAGTGAGAGAAAATACATTCTAATTCTTACCCTTTCTTTTTCTGAATCATCGGGTCATCAATGAATATGATGCTGGATTTTTTCTGCTTACGGTTCACACTTTTTACCTGCAGAGAAGAATAATATGGATTTTAAACATTTTAAACCATTAAGGCTTGAAATTCACTAGTTCAAGCTTCTCTAATGAGATAAATTGTTGATTTTATAAATGTTAGTGAGAAATTGTGCATTGTTCCTTCTAAAAACGTATATCAAAGCATGTGCTTTTGAGAAATCGATGATACACACAGGTTTTTGCACTCACCAATGCAGGCCAAAATGGATAATTTCTAAATTTGCACCACACAAACGCCCCTTCTGTAATGGAAAGGGACTCTGGAAGACACAGGTATAAACAGTCCACTTAAGATAGACATTATGTACACATTATTCACTCCATATACAGTCCTCGAAGAGGTTATTTGCATTCGATCACTGTATACCCTCACTTTTGTCCATCTGCACCAAGAAGCTTGGTAGCTCCTCCTCATCACTTTCCTCATCTTCCTGGAAAGACAAAGATGGCAGCTGCTCCTCATCAGGACTCAGCTCTATTGATAGATCTGAAGACAGCAAAGACTCGTCTTGTTGGGGGTTTGGGGGGTATAGAGGAAGCAATTATACGAAATTAGAGCAGATACATTTACAAACCTGAATGATTTAAAAATATGAGTGAATCTGTGGGCAGTGCTTAAAAGCATTATGTTGACCCTAAGAATACAATACCTTGTTCTTCTACATCAAGCTTCTTCAGTTCAAATCTTGGTCTAGGTCTCTGTTTGGATAACAGAGAGGTGGTATCCTTCTGTAAATTCCTTGTCTCAATCTTCCGCTTCTTGCTGGGCTGGCACTTGGCTTGTGGACGGTTGGTTTTACTGCAGGTCTGTGTTTGCTCCTTTGTCACCCTTTTTCTGACTTGTCTTGGCTGGCAAGAATAACCCCTCTTGCATTTGCTTCGAGATTTTGATTTGAGGCATGGCGAATCTACCTCTGATGTCTACAACAGAACAAATGTTAAAGGACTTCAATAATATGACTGAAAGCTGTTGATGATGAAAAGTCTGGGTAAAATGCACAGACAATATTTATCACTAACGATATGATCAAATACCTTTAACTGAGTGATGATTTCCGTGTATTCCAGCTCTGCTTGTTTTGCTCCAGGAGGGGACTTTGAGGATATACTGGACAGGTTATCAGTGGAGGAGCTGTGCACTGGTGTGGAGGTCTGGCAGGCCTCTTGTGTCCGTCCTGTTTGTCTCCTGCCTCTTTTTGGAGTACTTCGTAAGAAACATGCTGAGGACTGGCTGTCTATGGCAAAATCACTGCCTGGCACAGCATTTGATTCCTCTGTGACTGGAGATGAAACAGTGTCTGAGGTAACTTTCTTTGCTGATGTCTTCTTAGGTTCCCTTTTTCTTGTTTTCCGAAGTCCAAAATCACTGCCTGGCACAGCATTTGATTCCTCTGTGACTGGAGATGAAACATTGTCTGAGTTGACTTTCTTTGCTGATGTCTTCTCAGGTTCCGTTTTTCTTGTTTTCCGAAGTCCACCTGAAAGATCATTCACAATCATATCTCTACTGTCATTTGGAGTTGCTTAATATGTGAATTTCTCTTCGAAGAAAGTGAATAATAAGATTACATGTTACCTTTCATTGTTGGTGTAGTCGTGTTGCTGAAAAGATTTCCCTTGAGTTCATTGGGTCAGAAGTCTACTGAAGTAGCCAAATGTGACATGTATCAAAGCAAATTTCCTTCACCTGGAGAGGTGAGTCTCTAGCGCTGCTGCCAGGGCTAAGACAAGTAAAACGATTGGCAGCTGTATGGCAGGAAAGAGAGGGAACGGTTAGAAAATACTGTTCAACATTAGGACCTTAACTAGAACTACTTTCGCTTTGCTGTTAGACCATGTAGACACTGTGATAAATGGCACATTCACACCAGTCATTATGTGCATCTGCCTACCTCAGGCAAATTGGACGTACGGTAAAGCCTGTCGCCACGGAAACCAGATCGAAACATGCCTCGCAAATTAAAACACAGCTCAGTAATGTTTATTGAACATTACATTACATTTACAACATTACCTCCTTCACCACGTTACTGCAGGAAACATTTCTGCACAGGTTTTCACAGAAGACCACGCATTAAAGTATTTAGCAATTAATTAATATTAAAAACATAACGCCACATGAGTACAAATGCCAAGCTAAACCAGCATAACAACTAGGTTGTATTATTTAACTAATGCACTTGAACACATTACAACACGAGCTGCAAGCTAACATTGTAGTTTGCCAGAGGTGATACAACTTTAACATTACCGGGCTGCTAGCAAACAAGCTGCACCGTAACTACATTTAGTTTACGTTAGCATGCTAGTAAACAAACGTACCCACAAAAATCTCGAGCAGTGAAAACAAAGGCCGTTGTTTATTGCTAACAGACATGGCGTGACATAATAACAAAAAACGTTAATGACACTTAGGTTTGTACGATTATTGATCGAAGTTTCATGTTAGTTACATCTGTAACTCAGCGCCTCCTGTAAACACTAGCGTCAGCCACGAACAAACATTCAATCCAGCAGCTGGTACGTGTACGTCTCAAGACTGAAACAATGAAAGTGACTGACAAGTTTTACCTCAGGAAACCTCAGGAAAAACGAAATAGTAACTGTTACAAAGCTAGCCACTCACCTTAAAAATCAGCCTACATTTCGGACAATTAGCTCCGAATTTCAGGCCAGGTCAGTTCACGCACACTGCACAGATTCACCACTGAAAAAAGTTTTTCGGATTAAAAAGACTTCCACTTTGCGATTAAGTGTTTAAATATTCAGTATAGCGAAACCAACAGTTTGTAACACAATCCCCGTGAACAATCACACTACCACTACGACTTGTTAGCACTACTCAGGGGTCGTAAACCAGCATTAAAGACGTGTACCGCCACCTACTGTACCGGAGAGCGCAGATTCCTGACGGCTGACGTCGCTGACCTGCTGCGGAGAGGGACGCGTGTGCAGAGCTGCGTTCACACCTGAAACTATTGGATCATTTGTCCAATTGAAAAAATTAAAAGAAGAGCTAGGTTTGTTAGTGAAAGGACATTGCCAGGTGTAGCATGGGCTACATTTCACACAATGAACGGTTAACAGTACACACATGTCTTTTTTGAATTTAAGAACATAATGATTCACAGGATAATGTGTAATATGTATTATTTTGAAAGAAACTTTGCTCACTTTATTGACAGATATTTAAGATTCCAGACATTTTTCCACTTTAAGATATCAACAAATCTAGACCAATAGGACACAACATAACAGGTAATATTTCTCTGAAAAAATAACTATATGTTAAGCTTTTGATTTCTTAAAATAGTATTCATCAGGTAGATAATAGGTGTTGAAGTTACCTGAAGGTCAAGTGTTGGTAAACAAGCTGGTCTTTCTGTTCCCTTTAGGAGGAACAGAATTCCACAAGGCAAACTCCTTTGGGATAACAGGAATGCCAAAAGTATCAAGAAATTAAGAGTAGCTCAATAGCTGTCCATTAATATTAAATAATTTATTTACTAGAATTATTAGACAATTATTAGAGAGTTTAAACTACATGCTCAAGTCCCAATGTATCCTATATGCAGAGCCCAAATACTATATCACCTTGTTTTTCTAAGGTCAAAATCTTTTTTTCTGTGATTCTGTCTGTTGTTGCCTCTCAATCCCCCTGTCACTCCTACAGATAACTTTATACCATGTCTTTGCCAGTGTTTACTCATGTTCAATTCAGTCAACATCTACAAATGCAGCAACCAACATTATGAACACTTAGTTGCCAGTGTGGGCACCCATAGATAAAACTATGATGTAGTTTGTGGCACGCTTAAATTGCATTATAGAGAATTGTTTCAAGCCTACCCTTACTGATATGAGTGAAGTGGACAAAATAATAGAAAGACCCGCAAGTATAGCGCAATAGAAGTCTAACAGCACCATGAACTACATCCTCCAAGATGATCATCTTCTCTTCTCTTCAACAGAAACTGAACATTATAACTGGCATGAAGGAGGATTAGACTGACTTAGTTTCAGGTGTACTGATAACTAGAAGAAGGTTTCTTAAGTACAGAAAAACAAAAAAAAACAACAGTATATTGATCTGAAATTCAGGTATAAATACTCCAACACCTACATGTCTGAGTTCTTAGACACCATCTGTAGGCATTGTCATAAATATGAAGTAGTAGGCCTGTGTGCCATCTTTTGTTCAGTGTGGTAATATGTTATACTGTTTACATTGTAATAAGCTATTAATGGTCATAATACATTGGTTGTCAATTGTCAATACACATTTTTTTTCATGTATGCATTCTTTCCTTCAATAAATTGCCAAAAGGCCTTTTTCACAGAGGACATTAGGACTTGTCACAGCAGGATAAGCACAGCTGTTAATAATAACATTAACAATGGCTCTGTTGTATTGAAGTGCCCCAATAAGCCACGACAGTGTGACAGTGAGCCAACATGCACAATACCAGAACCTTGAAACTGCAGCAGGTAAATCACTGAATGGAATACAGTTATAATTCATTTTATTATCTACACCTGTGATTTATTAGGCTATATGTCAAACAGTTTTGTGCAAATGTGCATTTGCAGTTGCGGCTCCCAAACTCTGGAACGAATTGCCTTTACACATTTGGCAGGCCTCTTCACTGCCTGTTTTTAAATCTCTTCTTAAAACATACCTCTTTTCCTTGGCTTTTGACACAGTCTGAGATGTTGCTTTTTATTAATTAACTGCTGTTGTTTTTACACGTGTTTTATGTCTTTTTGTAATATTAATGGGAGATTTTTTGCTTGTGTTTTATGTCTTTTTTGTATTTTTTTGTTCTTGTACAGCACTTTGGTCAACTGTGTTGTTTTTAGTAAATAAGATTGGATTGGATTGGATTGAAAAAAGGCCTCTGAGTGTAAATTTGCAAACAGCTACCCTAAATTGTACCTCTTATTTCTGTAATAGAGTTTGTGTGAGAAAAACATTTTTGTGGCTTTCTAAAGAAATTCAAAAAATATTTGATATTTGCAAAAATCAACAGTAAACTTTCCATAAAAATTGAAATCTGAAAATTGGCACCATTAACTTAATTTTTTTTAAATTTAAGTTAATGATGCTTTGTGCTCTTTATTCACTCTGCTGTATGTCTCTCACAATACCTCTAAGACAACAGCAGAGGGCACTGTGTTACCACTCACGTATACTGCTCTCTATTACAAAACAAAGGTTCCAAAAACACTATGTGAGTTTATGCAGAGGTGTCTCCTCCATTAAAAGTTAATGTTGAAACATTAAGAGCTTTTGTACTGATTTAAACTCTATTCTAAGGCTTGGATCTCTTAATTCAATTGATATATTCCATCTAGAAATACTGCAATCTGTGTAAAATATCCCCAGGTGTTATTCTAATTGTGCAGTGCAAGACCTTAGTGTCCTCATTGTTATAGCCATGGAAGAGTCCTTTATTGTGCATAGGAGTTTAACATATCATTACTAATAAAGACATCCTAAAGTAATGTGACAAATCTCCATATAAAAGTTTATTTTTTTCACTTCAAACAGGCAGCAGTCCACCTGCCACTCAGCTGGAACCTCTGGATGTGTATTGGCCTTTAGTCGATGAGGGGCAGGGAGGCCCCGCCCTCATCCAGATGTGCGCCTCTCTCCTGCCTCAGTCCACTGCTGCTTCAGCAGAGTGCGGAGCCTCGGGAAGTCAACAGGAGGGTACGGATAGTAACACTTGAACTATAAGCAGCGAGGAACTGACTCCTTATAGCTGTGGTCTATGCTAGATCTTATTCGATCTAACGAGTCGTGACTTTGTCAGTGACTCCTGAGCCGTGCGTCGGAATTTGCGCCCCTTTTTTTTTCTTTGTTTTGTTTTACCTGGCAAGCCTCAGACGCAGAGCTGATGGAGAGAGGCAGGGCTGAGTGCGATGCCAGTCCGGAGCGCTGTTGAGCAGAGACCCCCATTCAGCGCAGAGCAGACTCTGTTGACAGGGAGCGGTCTGCTTTCACGCACGACCTGTGTGAATCCTCAGTCCGGTTTTAGCAAGTGCTTCGAGGGGTTTCTTTAGAAGCAACAACCTGCGGAAAAAGAAAAAAACATTCAGGATTTTTTTTAAAAAAATTGTTTGTTTGTTTGTTGGAGACGGTATGGGGATGTAACCGGTTTCCACATGCACTTGGAAGCGGCGCGAGGTTGCCTCCAGATTGAGAAGAGCAAACTGCAGGGGCGTGTGGTTAATTGAAATCGATCCGGTGGTCTCTTTTTGAATGTGACGCAGCAGCAGAGGTTCTTTCTCCTCTCCTCTCCTCTCCTCCTCCCCCCCATCTCTCACCTCCAACATGACTTCACTGTCGGGGACCAAGGAGAGGTCTGTGAGCAGCCGGAGCAGAAAATATGGGGTAGGTTATCCATTCGAGTAGCCGAGGGGTGGACACACCTCTGTTACCTAGGCTATAATCCTGGTAAACATAAGAACTTATCATCCATTCAGTGCTGCATGCACTTCAGCTCACACCACCCATCCATTTTAACAGGAAACTGTAGTTTTTCTCACCCTCTTCAGGCTGACATAAATATGAAGGTGACAGCTCTCATTAGATTTGTGTCCATGCTGTTGATTGATTGCTTTGTGAAGATCACATTTTGCACATTGCTGCTCTTGGTGTCACAACAGTGGCATGCATTTTCACTGATAGATCTCCCACTTCTCTAAATTACCACTAAGTGAGAACCAAGCAGCTATACTCACACCTGTGTCACTCCCTATGCCTACAGCCTTATAAGTGTTAATTTATAAAGCATGGTTTGCTCACATTATACCAACATCTTCACTTAGAGATGATTGAGCATTCCCACCTATCAGCCTGCCAATTTTTGCCTTATTATAGTCCTTGTGAGGGATTACAGTAGCTATAGTGCCCAACCTTTCAAGCTACCACCACATCAATGGGTCTCTCTTCTCTGACTGGATTTACCCAGCCGCAAAAGATCTAATTTTCAACTCCTTTGCGGCTCATTTGATGTTCCCATGTGGCTGTCTGAGTAGGGAAAAATAACACAGGTCTACACTTGGAATCTTCCTTGATCCTATTTAGCATCCAATATGTTGACTGCCTCAGCTTGGGCTGTAGCACCACAGTGAATGTTTAACATTGCTTCCTGTTTGTGGGTTTTTAACTGAATGACCATTTGATTTAATAACCTAACGGCAGTTTAGACTCATTTTCCTCCTATTGGCTGCCCATTGCTTGTGTGTGCTATTGGCACAAGATGACTGTTTAATGTACAGTATATTTAGCTGCAAGTTTGTTTTACATTCATATTAATTCATATTCACCATTTATCAATTGTTGGCATGTAGGCTAAGCAGGCACATGCAAGCTGTGAGTAAGGTTAATATTTTCATAGTTTGAGTTCAGTTTGAGTTTCATATATGTTTATCAGACATAGAGACACTGATTTGTTAAATATAACAAAATATGTAGCCCACTGAATATAGCTATAGGTGGATATAGCAAAAGCATCTTTATTTTGCTTTAGAGGCAAAATGCAAATAGCTTGACTATTAATATGCATGAGACAGGTCCTGTATCATGCAAATTAACATGCCACAACCCCTCATGATTTTATTCTCTTCCCAGTGTAACCTGTTTTGTAGACTTAAATAGCTTTTTTTCATGACAAACCTTTGACATGTCATCACAGAAAAACAAATAAAAGTAATGATAACATTAGTGTTGGCACTATTTATCCCAGGAAGCCATACCACTGAGCCATTATACACAATAGCAGGGCTCAGGAATTGCAAACCCTATGGGAAATGCAACGATTATTAATAATTTCTTCTTTTGTTTTTTAAATTTTCACAGATGCCTGATACTTCACCAACCAAATCTGCCTCCTTTTTCCCTGACACGTGGTACCGAAAGGCCTATGAGGAAACCACCCGGTCCAGCACACGCCCCAACCCGGAGGGTGCCGGCTCCATGCCAAGCTCCACAGGCACCCCGTCCCCAGGCTCAGGAATCTCTTCACCGGGGTCCTTCTCTGGATCACCAGGGACCATCTCTCCGGGGATTGGAACAGGATCGCCTGGTTCTCTAGGTGGCTCCCCGGGTTTTGGTACTGGATCACCGGCCTCAGGCAGTGGAAGTTCCCCTGGGAGTGAAAGAGGGATATGGTGTGAGAACTGTAATGCTAGGCTGACAGAGCTGAAAAGACAAGCACTGAAACTGCTCATCCCTGGACCTTATTCCAGCAAGGTAAAAACAAGATTGTTCTGCTTGTCCTTCTGTCTTCTGTTGTGATGAATGTGTGAGTGTCATATCCTCTTGCATGTATTTTTCTATTAGCTACCTGTACTGTTACCCAGTGGTGAGTTGGTTATGCTCAGTAGCATAGGCTCCAAAAATAACATATTCCATCATTAACTGTGGCATTTGGACAATAACACTTATTAACATGGTTGCTCATGAAACACTGGGCCTCTAATCATTCCCTTGCTTACCATGATGCTGTGTTGTCAGAGTTATTGTTCTCATAAATCTTAAGGACGCTGTAATTTGTCCAAACCTCATTTGGCCAGCTGTTGAAAAGAGCAGAAACCAAACAGCCTTTGGGATTTGGGATAATTATTGTATCTGAAGCTCCTGATCAATTACTGACACCGTGCCAAAAACAAAGTGATAAACACAGAAGAGAGTATTTCAACTTTTTTCTTCAAGTTTCCCATTTTACCTCATTGATCATATCACCAGAATCAATGAGTTCACTTTCTTCTATATTGCTTTTTTCCTTTTGAGGGAATTAAGGTGATGGATTACTGAAAGACACTGACCACTTAGAGCAGATATTAATTCATATGAACTGCTGCCTTTTTCTAATTTTATTTGACAGGGATTTCTGTGGGTAGTCCATATAATCAATTTCAATTCCATTAGTACAATGATTTTCAACAGGCAGGTTGTGAGGCCCAAAGTGTTGCAGGTTGATTTATGATGGAAGATCAAATCATGTGGGATATGAGTTTATCATGTATATGTCTCATTTTTCTTTTTAATATTTCTACACTAAATAGTTTCTTATAGTTTTTGTTGAAAGCATTAAAAAACCTTCTGAAAGCAGGGCTTTTGACTGTATAACTTTTAACATGTTGCCTCTGGGTTCGATGTTCTTCTGCTGCAGTTGACTGGATTTTAGTTGTGAATACCCATCAGGCTTTGAGTTAATTGATAACAAATAAACACATGCTCCATGGGGTTGATAAAGTGCAGCTAGCGAGAGAGAGAGAGAGACTACAGGACTACAGTGGGACAGAGAGACTTAGTGTCAAGAGACAGAGGTGGAGACAGTGGGTTCTTATTAACGCAAGAACATGACAGTTGGAAATTATTAGAAACAGTGGGGGTTAATGGGGACTGTCGGTGGGCAGACCACTAATTAAAACGTTATTTGTGAAGTTGGGTTTAGTTCAGGCTGATAAAAGCTTCTCCTTTGTAGTTAACTTAATTACCTTGTAGATTAAGCAAATTTAATACCCCATCCCTCTACCAAGTTTGGTGAAAATCAGTTCCGTACTTTTTGCATAATCCTGCTGACGAATAAACAGAAAACATAACATAACCTCCTGAAAACATAGCCTCCTTGTGGGAGGTAGCCTAAATATCTCTCTTTGGCTCAAGGATTTTGTCAATGAAAGAAAATCGGACTGACTTGTGCTTGACTGATTCAGGTACGAACAAGAAAATGGAGACTGACATTGGATATTCTCATTGTAGTTTCACAGTCAGTGGAATAAATATGTGCCCCTGGCAGGGGCAGTGTTGCACAGTCATCTTTAGCTAGTCAGGATTTCTTGGCTGGTTTTCCTTTTAGCACTGTGACTTCTTCTTTCTCCTTACAACAGTGAACTGACCCATGCAGGTGTTTTGTGTCAGGGAAAAGCTGAACCCATGTCCTTGGTGAAGCAATGTGACCTAATAATGATTCTCCTTCACCAAATGTGCCAGAGCAGCAGTTCAGCCGTGTGTGTGTGTGTGTGTGTGTGTGTGTGTGTGTGTGTGTGTGTGTGTGTTTCTGTGTGCGCGCACATGCTCACATGCGTGCGTGTGTGTGTGTGTGTGTGTGTGTGTGTGTGTGTGTGTGTGTGTGTGTCCCTTCCTGTTGTGCTGTCAGCATGAGACCCAGTGTTATTCCCACTGGACAGTGGGACATATGTGTCCCATAGACGCAGATAGAATAAAAACACACAACCACCTATCAATATAGCCCCTCAACACACACACACATACACACACACACACACACACACACACACACACACACACACACACACACACACATACACACATTTGAACCGTGTAGACCTGTCTTTGTCTTTGGATCTGAATACATGATAGGCCATGCTTGACTAGGGCTAGCCAGTCATTCACACATACGTACAGACACACACACACACACACACACACACACACGTTTTTAATACTATGCTAATGATGACCTTCACCAGTCTTACCGTTGAATATTTTGCTGTTCTGTCTGCAGTTCCGTGTGTGTGACAGTGTGTTCATTTGTGCTTGTAAGGCATTTAGCATGTTAGTGTTGCAGTTTGTTAGAGCTGTGAACACTGTTTGTGCACTGCTTATTTGCTGTCCATTACACTGTACGTCTTAGAGAAAGTACATCAATTATTCATCCACCCATTGAGTCATTGATGAGTAGTCTGCTCCCTAGTGGCTCTAAGGAGACATGGCACTTTACAGATGAAGCGAATGAGGGGAGATAAAGATGGATTATTGTAGGATGTGCCAAGGCTCCATCCATCCAGTTTTCTGCTAAGGTGCTGGAAATATCAATGGGTCCAAAATGATAGAAAAGATTTCTGCACACTTAGATCTATGCTGTGTCTTCACTTTATTTTCTGAGCTCTGTATGCTCTGATGAAGATGGACGGAAACAGTGATACTGTGTAAATATACAGTGGGGTCTAGAATGAGCAGAGGTTTACAGGTTTAGATGCATACATGTACACAAAATGCATGTACGCTTATAACCAAAGGACTCAAAAGTACATCTGGCTCCACAGCTGTACTCACTTAAGGCCTCTGTCGCTGCTCTGCTAATGTGTATATCTGTTTGTCTGTTTATGTATGTGTGTTCATCCCTTATATCTGCGTGCGTTGAAATCATAAATGGATAGAGGGTGAACTGTTTTTGGTTGGTCCAGTTCAGTTCAGGAAAGTGGGTCACTGGTGTGTGTGTGTGTGTGTGTGTGTGTGTGTGTGTGTGTGTGTGTGTGTGTGTGTGTGTGTGTGTGTGTGTGGTTTAGTCACCAGTAAAGTCTCTGTTTCAGATCAGATGAAAGTAAAAACCATCCATGTTTATAAAGTGAAACATATACAGTTCCACTTCAGATGTAAAAATAAAGCCAAAAAAGGACATGTTTTGAATATATTCGCTCCCTGAGGACCTCTAACTGGCAACTTGAGATTTATTGAGATTGCTTTCATCTGCACTTCTTTTTTTTGGGACATGTTATATGAAGTAAAGAGTACTGACTGCACTTAAAATGTTTATATTAGCAGACCCATTGATGTGTCTGTCTAGATGTGGCTGTAGATTAAGCAGCTTCCACAGTACATGGATTTTGAACTTTAATACACATCACTAAGGCTGGGATCATTTGTAGATACAGTGCAGTGACATTAGAAAAGTAAAGCTCTCTATGGTCCAGACATATTTCTGCATTTCACCATAAAAGCAGTCAGTTCCCTGGATAATGCAGCCAAGGGTTATCACCTAGAAGTATCGCTCTCCTTCTCCCTCTGCTTACCCTTGCAAACAAGCCAGCTTTGTTGTCTGATTCACTGTTATTTTTACAATTTTATAATGTAAACCATTATGATGATGAGTGTGAGCATAGCTTTGATACAGCATACCAACAATGAACATTTCTGGATGTAAATGCTGTTATTGAGTAATGGTGTTGTTATTCTGTGTATTGGATTGTCAGAATTTGGAAAGAGCTTAACAGATGTTCTTAGACCTGCTAGACTTGAGTTTGTAGTGAGTTCAGGAGGAAACAGTTATCCCCTCACACACCCACTCTATGTCTGGACAGTTTAAATTACAATTACATATGATTATAACTATAATTACAATTAGTTGCAGGAATATTCCTGTCTCAAATGCATAGTCAGAGTTTTTGAGACAGAGTGAGCCTTAGAGTTCTGAATCAATTCACTAGATTGATTAGACCAAACAGTCTCAACTCAACACCATCAGAAGATGGATAGTAGTACTATCAGGTGAACTACAGACTGAGGTTTAGAGCTCACTGATCTAACTACTGTTTCAGATGCTCTTCCAACCCACAAACACAAGGAGTTAATACACTTGTGGATATGATAAATTTAGCTAATCCTAGTGACTAGGTAATTTTCATCCAAAACCTCTAGTTTGTCTGTAATTAGTCTACTTATGTGTCAGCAAATGGTGGAGTATTATTGCTCCATCTGTCCTCAGAGGGATATATTTCTGCACACAGGTAGCTAGCTATCCTGTAATAACCAAATCCCATAACACCACAGAAGCAGGCCTCCGGTAACCACGGCAGCTGGTGTTGCCACGGCAGCGACATGTGACAGATGTGAGCCGCATACATACCTCCATCAGCGTTAATGGGCTCCTCATAGCTGTGTGCATGTTGGTGAGAGGCAGAGAGAGGGTGAAAATATAAGAAGTTCACATGAATAATAGCGCATGTTACGGTGCACGCGTGGGTTTTTGGCAAGAGGTAAGAGAAAATATATTCTGTAGTCAGTGTGATAGTGTGTGCACATACTCTACATGTGTGTTTGTGAGCGCGAGAGAGAGAGAGAGAGAGACAGAGAGCGATCATGCCCTCCTGATGCCTTTCAGGTGTGAAAGACATTACCATATAAAGAGGTGGCTTCATCAATAACAGCAAGATGGTGTGGATGGATGGATGTATGTGAGGGGAGGAGGCTTGCTGATGCAGGCTGAATTGAAGAGCCTCTCACTGGGTTTATGTCAATTTGACCCACCCCAAGTGCAAGTATGTATGCACCATCTCAGGATCTAGTATGACTTACTGCACCCTCTCTTTTTCAATAACCCTAACCCTTACTTTATGGTTATTTATCAGAAACACCAGTGGTAAAATAAAACCCAAATCTTAGAAAGCATATAATCAAAGTAGCGTGTAATCACTGCTAAAAATTTTGTCATTTGTATGACGTGC